ATTCTGTGGAAGCTCACGGTCGCTCCTCGTCTGGGCGATGAGAAGGACATTCTGGTGGACACCGGTGTCCTGGACTCATTGTTGTCCATATCTCTGACTCCGGTCAGCTGAACAGCCGTGTCTGCCATCACAACCCTGAGGAACAGAAACCATCAGCTGTCAGATGACATGAACTCACTAAATCATTACATCAGGACACACAAAATCAGGTTCATCTGGACTTAATAAACCAAGTTTCAGTCGGATTGCAGAATCTCAATGCACCTGATCAACTAGTTTCTCTCATTACATTTAGTCATTTAGCAGACGCTTTTATCCAAATGAGGACAATGGAAGCAATCAAAATCAACAAAAGCAAGCAAGTGCTATAAAACAAGTCTGCCTATCAAATATGAACGCTTAGGTCGTTTCTAAACGAGTAATAATGTGCAGTATCACTCCAAAAAAAAAAAAAACACAGCATTCAGTAGTTCGCAGCGAAAACGGAACACGTGATATTTGTCAAAACAAACGATCTTGTTTTTGAGCAGAACATCGGGTAATTAACTGTTAATCTACGATTTTTGCATGCGTGATTCACAGAAACCGTATTCACACTCACCTGAAGCAGAGGCGATCCGCTGCGAGCGCCCGTGGGTATTATGTTTATGTGAATGAGGTTTCATAAAATCCCTAGTAGGGGTAGCTGCAGCTTGGAGCAATGGGCGTGCCAAAAGGTTTCTCAGGCGCTTCACACGTGCTACGATGACAGGAGTGACTTTATAAAGCTTATGCAAATCAGCGTTTATACATAAAAACATAAAAAATACGATGGAATTACCATCATTGTACCATGGTACCACTAGCTTTTGTGTCGCTTATATGACATTATAAACATTTGAGAAACACTAAAATATTTCAAAAAATATCTAGAGTTTCATGAAAGATACTGTGAATGTTTATTGTCAATCAACATCATACACTCTAAAAAATGCTGGGTTAAAAAGGGACAAACCCAGCTATTGGGTTGTTTCGACCCAGCGGTTGGGTTGTTTTGAACCCAACGCTGGGTCAAAACAACCCAATCACTGGGTCAAAACAACCCAACTGCTGGGTCAAAACAACCCAATA